TACAGGGATCGCTCTGAGTAGGAACAGACTCGTCAGCACACCACCACCTCCACCACAATGAACAGCAGTTAAATTAAATGACATATTGCATCAGGCAAATCTGCTTTTATCATTTTAAAGATCAAAGATACCAGTTTGAGGACTAAGTAAGGTGTGCCTAACCCAAGCCGGGATATTTTCAATAGCCTTATATACATGTGAAAGTTGGACAATGACTAAGAAAGACCGTAGAAGATTGGATGCATTTGAATTATGGTGTTGCTGAAGAATATTGAAAGTACCACGGACTGCCAGAAGAACAAAGAAATCTGTCTTGGAAGAAATGCAGCCAGAAAGCTCTTTGGGCACCAGGATGGTGAGACATCATCTCTAGTTCTTCAAGCATGTTATCAAGAAGGACCAGTCCCTGGAGCAGGACATGATGCTTGGTAAAGTGGAGGCTCAGTGACGAGGAGGACGACAGCAGACGAGATGGAGTGGCGCAGCTGCAGAGGGCTCAGCCATAAGCCGTGGGAGGAGTGTGCTGGGCCAGGCAGTGCGATTTCTGTGGTGCAGAGGGGCTCGCTATGAGGTGGAACTGACTTGACTGTAACAGCATGCTATCCTGGAAGCCAGGAAATGAGAGCATTTTAAGTCAACAGAAAAGGGCACGAGTCTAAAATGCTGCCAATAGACTCAGTAAAATACAGACTGAGAAAGAAGCTTGAGATTTAGTAATAAGTCGTTTCAGTGACAACAACTGGTTTAGTAGTTTCAGTCTTTCTATTCGAGGGATTTGGGCTGATGCCAGATCAGAATGAGATGAGGAATGTTTGGGAAGTGAGGAAAATGAGACAGAAAACTGTAGACATTTTAAAGCCGTTCCTTTCTAAAGGGGAGGAGCTAGGGCTGGTGGGATCCAAAGAAACTTCGTTGAAGACGGGATCAGAGAAATGGAGAGTTAGAGGAGTAATCAGCAGGCAGTCTCCACAAGGGGACAGAGGCAAGGAGAACCTGAGCGGGAAGCAGAGCTATGTTTACCTGTCAGGAGCTTGCTGTTTCCTTCTGCTGCAGTGCTACCCACAAATCCTGGACAGGAAGGGATGTTTTCAAAGTTAGCAAAACGTGGAGGACATGTGAAGTAGACACTGTGCAGAATGGGGGAGACAGAAATGACTTGAAAATATAGAAAGTTTTCTGGAATGCATTGAAGGCTCACTAGGGGGTTCAGACTAAGGAGTTGACATTAGTACTTTTCGTGATTACCACTGTACTGAGAGGAATGAAAAGTGGTCAGTACATGGATCAAGGACAAGGGAGGTTTTCCTGGGCTGTGGTGGTGGTGTGTCATGGAGTCGGTTCTGAGACTGTAAATCTTCAGTGGGGCAGGAAGCCTGGTCTTTGTCCCGCAGAACGGCTGGTAGTTTTGAACTGGTGACATTGAGTCTAGCAGCCCGATTTGTAACCACTACGCTACCAGAGTGCCTTCCCAAGCTAAGGCTAAGGTCCTAGATAATAAGTTGGCAGGTGGAGTATGTAGACAAAACAGTGAGCATGAAGTTGAAACGGAACTGGACAGAGCATTCTCCAGAGTAATGATCCACGATGGAGGCCAGGCTCAAGTCATGCTACTGTCGTGCCACTGTATTACCAAATTCTTTTTTTTTTAAAGCTTTTTTTGTGAACTGAGTGATAGTTTACATGGGAGAACATTGGTTTTACACTCATGCTATATTTCATTTCATTGCAATGATTACTATCCCCTCTGTGCATCATCATTCAACAGTATTTGCTTCTATTCCTTCTTTTGGTGATAGGAGTCAGGGTGTACACAAAAACACTCAGAAATATTTAATCATTTAAACAACCAAAGTACACGTTCTGCAAGCCTGCCTCCTGGCTGCCAGCACACAGCTTTTCTCTTTCCATGAGTCTAGAGTCCTCAGCTGCTCCCTCTCTCCATGTCATCATCTCTGCCTCAATCTCTGGCCTCGCTGCTTCTCTGGATAGGGTCCCACATTCTGCTCGTTCTCTTCTCCCTTGATGGTCCTGGGGTCCTCTGTTTCTGGACTGTAAGATTAACTACTCCCCCCTTTATGTTACAAAACTTCCACCTTTACAATTGTGACAGTCGCAATTAGTTATGATAACAGTTACTCACTGTTGAATCTTAAGAATCTTATCCCCATCTCTTTCACCAGACCCTTCTAGACAAGATGAAAACTATTCAGTGGGGACCCTACCTTCCCCCCATACTCTTAAACTCAACTCCCTCTTGAAACCTTGTATTCCAGTCACTTCGTACCTTTATTGCCCCCTCATTTTATGTAGCCAGTGTCTAAGTCGCCCATCCCTGTCTACTCTGTGTACGAAGGGGATGGGAAGAGCCCTTCCTCTCAGTTGGTATTTTGAGCTACTACATCCATGTGTATAGGTCAAGTTCATCAAATTGTAGAGATTTATACTTATCAAGTTCTTTTGCAACAAGATTAGAATTCCTGGGTAAATTTACTTGCCATACTGGTCTAGTTATTCCTGTAATCCACATTTCACGTAGGCGTTCGTATTTTCCGATGACTCACTAAGCCATAACCACACTCATTAGGATGTAATTGACGGTATTTGTGCATGTTTTTAAGTGTCTCAATCTGGTCTGTTGACAGTGTGAGACTGCAGCACAGCAGGAATTTGCTGAAGAACTTCAAAAGAGAGAGCGTTTTTTAGCTGAACGTGAACAACTGCTCTTCAGACATGAAGTTGCCTTGAGTAAAATGAAAGGTGTTGAAGAAGAGGTTCTTACAAGGTTTCAAATTATCAAAGAGGTAACTGTGTAGCATTTGATTTTACAGTAGCGTAATTTCTCTAAACTGCAGTTTAGCCGTTAATATTTTGCCATATTTGCTTTATTCTCCCCTCATTTTTCTCCTGAACCATTTGAAAGTAACTTGCAAAAATTGTGATGCATTGCCCCTAAATATTTCATCATGTATCACAGAAGGATAAGAACATTCTTCATAGTACCATTAACATACCAAGAAATGGATATCAATTAAATACTATAATATGCAGTCAGAATTCATCTTCCTGGTTGGCTCACTGAATGTCTTTTATTGGTTTTGCTTTTGTTTTCTGATTAAGGAGCCCAGTCAAGATTCTTGCATTATACTTGTTCAGTAGGGCTTTTGGTTTCTTTGACTGTAGGACAGTGTCATCTGTCTGTCTGTCTGTCTGTCTGTACTCGGGGCGCACTTTTCTTTGAAAAGCCCGGACTGTGAGGCTTTGGACTACATCATGTTGTGGAGTTGCCTGCTTGGTTCCGACGGACTGTATTTGGCTCAGTGGTTTTGGCAGGAATGGTCGTAGCAATGTCCTGTTACTGTAGGTATCATTTCACACAGACTTCCCTTCAGTGTGTTGTTTAGCTCTCTGAGGTCTAATAAGTGCAGTCAGTATTGTATTTGTCATCTTCGTAAAACTGAGCAGTGGTTCCGTCCCAGAGGCGTCCCTCTGTCTCTTTTTAGTAATCCCTGCCCCTAGGCACAGCCTCGGTGGTGGTGGTTGTTAATGCCATTGTTTCTGTCACAGAGCAACCCGTATAGGGGTTTTGAGGCTGGAAGTATTTTCGGGAGCAGAAATTCTCATCTTTTTCCCGGGGAGCAACCGTGGAGTCAGTTCTGGCTCATAGCGACCCTGTACAAGGTTTCCGAGGCTGTAAATCTTTACAGGAGCAGAAAGCCTAATCTTTCTCCTGAGGAACAGCTGGTAGTTTCGAACGGCTGACCCTGAGGTTTGCAGCCTGATTCGTAACCACTCATTGGTGGTAGCTAAATTGGGCACCATCTGTTATTCTGGTCTGTCATGTGTGCGTAATTATTGTTAGATGTTGAAAAATTACAACAACTGAAATATTTAAACTACTTTTAGAAATAGCTGGGTTACTGACTCTATGCAAAGTTATTTAAAGGATCATTTGATATAGCAATAAAATGACTTACAGCACTCCCCCTGCCCCCCCAATTCTTCAGTATTTTTTTGGACAGGCTTAAAGACTGAATGTTTGGAATCCTAGCTCTATTTGGTTTTCGTCTAGGTTTCTCTCAGATGCATGTTTTATTGTGCAGACATTTCTGTGATGATTAGGGAGTAGGCAGTCATGTTTCCTTACCTTCTCATAGAAATGTGCTTATTTCAGCACTTTGAGAGTAAAAGGTGAGAGAAGCTATAAGTATTCACATTTTAAATTTAAAATCTATTATCTCATTTAAAGGTAAGTAGAGTAGAAGTTGGTTTGAATCATTTCATGAAACTGAATAAGGAAAGTCAAATAGTTTGTGGATAAGATAAATTTTAGCAGGTGTTTAACATTTTTGGGGGGATGTAAAGCTGACATCAAATATTTTAACTGCTTACAATAATAATCAATGGTGTTATCTATCTGTATAGTCTGTAACACTGTGAATAGCTGAATTGTCCTTTGAAGAGTATTAGAAACACTTCATTGTTTGATAACTCCATGATGTCAATATAAAGTCTTTTAGTGAATTTCTACAGCCAAAAATAGACTATTGATGTTTATTTATATGATAATAATCTTAGTAGGCATTTCATAAGTAATTGTGTACTATGTTTCAGCTTTGATTTCCTATGTGGTTTTTATAAATGATGAATTTATAATTTTAGTCACTTTGTTGTTGTTAGGAAGTGTTGTCAAGTCAGTTCTAACTCATATAGGCAACTCTGTATAGGGTTCCAAGGAGCGGCTGGTGAGCTTGAACTGCTGACCTTGTGGTCCAGTGCTTGTCTAGAGACATACCAGGACTCCAAGTATATGGTATAGAATTATATCTACACTAAAGTTCTTGGGACTTATGAATGCTAACTCATTTTTGTTAGTTTATATTTTATAGCTTTAGTAGTGTGGAATCTCTGCCTAAAGTTTAAATCAGACTTGCTTCCCCGCCTAGCAACATGAAGCAGAAGTTGAACACCTATCTGAAGTTCTCAAGGAAAGGACTAAAGAAAGCAGGCGGTTGAGGTCATCTTTTGACACACTGAAAGAATTGAATGATAGCTTAAGAAAACAGGTAAGACCTATTTTTAAATAGTTATTACACTCCAAGACAGTGTTTGAAAACTTTTTGAGTATTTTATCAGTAATCAGCCAAGGCTCTTTGTGACTAAGGCCACAGTGGGTATTGGTGTACACCCACTTTGACTCTTGGGAGTGGAGTTGCTAGGCCTTATGGGACCGCTTTTTCTCTCCTTCAGGAACCACCCAGCTCTTCTCCACCGTGCATGCGCCATTTGACATTCCCAACAGCAGTACACAAGGATTCTGATTTCTCTACATTTTTGCGAATGCTTGTTTTTTTTTGTTTTGTTTTTTCCGGATAGTGGTCATTATGAGTTGGAACCATTGGCAGTGGGTCTGGTTTGGCACAGTGGTTTTGATTAGTTTTCCCTGATAATGACGATGGCAGCAGCTCTGGAGGTACTGAGGGTTACGCATTGGGTTGTTACTTGCAAGATTGGTGCTTTGAACCCACCAACTGCTCTGTGGGAGAAAGCTGAGGTGGTCAGCTTCTGTAACCACAGCCTCAGAGACCCTCCAGGCAGCCCTACTGAGGGCCACACTGAGCCAGAATTCACTTGGTGGCCACACAGAGTTTCATGTAATGACAAACAGACCTCGGCTGCTGACTCCCCAGCGTCTGAGCAGGACAGGTGTGCCTGTTAGGATTGGCTGCTGCCCTTAGTGACTCTGACTCACTGAGCAGAGGAGAGCCGTGGCCACGTAGGGTTTCCAGGCCGTGAGCTGTACAGAAGCAGACTGTCCCTTCTTCCTCCGATAGCACGCTAGTTCACACAACTGACCTCCAGTTACGGCCCCAGGGCTTCAGCCTCTCTACAGCCATGACTCCTTCCGTGTAAGGGTTGCTCTTAAATGCTGGTGAGTCCGTTCCCACTCGTAGCAACCCTGCATAGGCTTCCTGAGGAACGACGGGTGGGTTTGAACTGCCGGCCTTGCAGTTTGTAGTCCAGTGCATATACTGCAGCGCATACCGGTGTTCCCCTCCCCAAGGATTACAGTTCAGGGCACCCTGTGGCACGGTTTTTCTCTATCCCGTCAGGGCATTCTGGGTCAGAATTGATTCAGCAACACGTAACAATCATCGCTAATGACTTGGAGCGTTTTTTCCTGTGCTTCCTGGACATTTATTACTATCTTCTGGGAGAAATGTCTGTTGAAATCCATTGCCTATTTTACTTTTGGGTTGTGTGTCTTCTTGGTTGTTGAGTTATAAGGGTTCTTCACACATTCTGCATTTTGAACCCTCTTCAGATACACGGTTCGGAAAGGTTTTGCCCCAATCTGCGGCTTGTGTTCACTTTCTTGATAAAGTCCTTTGAAGCACAAATGCTTTCAGTTTTGGTAAAATCCAATTTATCTCTTGTTTTTGGTGTTTATCGCTAAATAATCTGGTTTTACAAACAGGGTCAGGAAACTTTCCCTGTGTTTTCTGCTAAAGGTTTCTGGTCTTCGTTCTTTGTATTTAGGTCCCCGATCCATCTCTGTCAGTTTGAGACTTAAGGACGTGAACGTGAGCTGTGTTGTGACTTACAGACGTGAATGTGAACTGTGTTGTGTGACTTAAGGACGTCAACGTGAACTGTGTTGTGACTTGCGGACGTGAACATGAACTGTGTTGTGTTACTTAAGGACGTGAACGTGAGCTGTGCTGTGTGACTTAAGGACGTGAACGGAAACTGTGCTGTGTGACTTAAGGACGTGAACGTGAGCTGTACTGTGTGACTTATGGACGTGAACGTGAACTGTGTTGTGTGACTTACGGACGTCAACGTGAACTGTGCTGTGTGACTTAAGGACGTGAACGTGAACTGTGCTGTGTGACTTACGGACGTGAATGTGAACTGTGTTGTGTGACTTACGGACGTCAACGTGAACTGTGTTGTGACTTACGGACGTGAACGTGAGCTGTGTTGCAGAGAAACCGGAGAGTGACTTAAGTGTATCTGCCTGTCTGGGGAGGAGCAGTTGTTCGGCAGAAACGGGGTATACCCAGCCACATTGAATGTTAGAGCCCCCCATCAGGGAGCCAGTGTCTAAATTGCCCACCCCTATCAACCCTGTCAGCACCCTCTTTTTTTTTTGGTACAAGACTGGGCTCTCTAAGACCCTCCCCTTCTCCAGGGGGTCTGGATGGAAACTGTGAGCATGGGAACTTCTCAGTGTGTAGGGGGTAAAGTGGGGTAAGGACTCTCAGCAGCTGAGGGCCTCTCTCTTCCTCTAGTGCTGTTGCTGGAGCTGGTGGTCCAGGGGGCTCTTATTCCTTGAAGGCCACGTGGACCATAAGATCCACCACCCTGTTACTGTAGCCGAATTCATTGTCATACCAGAAAATGAGCTTGACAAAGTGGTCGGTGAAGGCAATGCCAGCCCCAGCATCAAAGGTGGAAGAATAGGTGTCACTTGTAAAGTCACAGGAGACGACCTGGTCTTCAGTGTAACCCAGGATACCTTTTAGGGGTCCATCTGATACCTGCTTCATCACCTTCTTGATGTCATCATATTTGGCAGCTTTCTCCAGGCGGCAGGTCAGGTCCACAACAGACACGTTGGGAGTGGGGACACGGAAGGCCATGCCAGCGAGTTTCCCATTTAGTTCAGGGATGACCTTGCCCACAGCCTTGGCAGCACCAGTAGATGCAGGGATGATGTTCTGGGCAGCCCCATGGCCATCACACCACAGTTTCCCAGAGGGGCCATCTACAGTCTTCTGCGTGGCAGTGATGGCATGGACTGTGGTCACGAGTCCCTCCACGATGCCAAAATTGTCATGAATGACCTTGGCCAGAGGGGCCAAACAGTTGGTGGTGCAGGAGGCATTGCTGACAATCTTGAGGGAGTTGTCATACTTCTCATGGTTCACGCCCATCACAAACATGGAGGCATCAGCAGAAGGGGCAGAGATGATTACCCTTTTGGCACCACCCTTCAAGTGAGCCCCAGCCTTCTCCATGGTTGTGAAGACACCGGTGGACTCTACAACATATTCAGCACCAGCATCACCCCACTTAATGGTGGCGGGATCTCGCTCCTTGAAGATAGAGATGGGCTTCCCATTGATGATAAGTTTCCCGTTCTCAGCCTTGACAGTGACATTGAACTTGAAATGGGTGGAATCATGCTGGAACATGTAGACCATGTGGTTGAGGTCAGTAACTCAGCCTTGGTGACCAGGAGCCCAAACTGGCCAAATCTGTTGACTCTGACCTTCAGCATCCTGTCTCAGGAATGTGGCTGCCTGTTCAACGGGGAGGAGCAGAGAGCCTCAACACCCTCTTTTAAGAAGGTTTTTTTTCTTTGTAATCACAAGTAGATTGTTGTCTCTTGTTGCTGTTGATGTGAAGTGGCGTTGAGTTGGCTCCGACTCTTAGCGACCCTGTGCACAGAACAGAACTCTGCTCGGCCCTGTGCCAACCTCACAATCGTTGCTACACCTGAGCTCATCGCTGCCACCAGTGTGCCAGGCCATCTTGTTGGGGGTCTTCCTCGGTTTCTCCGACACGCCACTTTATCAAACATACCCTTCTCCAGGGACTGGTCCTTCCTGATAATGTGTCTGAAGTATGAGAGACAAAGGCCTCCAGGGGGCGCTCTGGCTGCGCTTCTTCCAACACAGAGTTCTTTTGTTCTTTTGGCAGTCAGTGGTACTTTCAGTAGTCTCCTCAAACACCATACTCAGATGGATCAATTCTTCTACAGTCTTTCTTATTCACTGTCCAACTTTTGTATGCATGTAGGTTACTGAAAATACCATGGCTTGGGTCAGGTGTACCTTAGTCCTCAAAGTTTCTATAATGCTTGATGGTTTTTCATGTTTGCATGCATGTGTGAAGATAAGGGTGGAATATGTAAATTATTACATGATTGGGCCTATTGCCGTGATGGCCTGTTGAGAAATAAAGCTTATATTTTAATTTTATCTTTGATTACATTTTTTTCATCAACTTTGAAATCTCGTTATGGATAAAATACTCAAAAGCATACATAGTCAAGGTATTAGAATTGCTAAGAGAGTTTTTAGCAGGATCTCTGAATAAATTCAGTATACAAAAGGAATTGTATTGCTGCATTTTGACAACAATAGAACTGTTATATTTAAAAAGAGAATAAGCTAGTATTCATTGTGGTCAGCCTCATTTATAATGGAATGGAAACTTGTCTGCTCCCGCACTGTCCTCAGGTCCTAGCATTTCAAACATGGCCACCTCACTCTAGCTGCTGTTACATGCCACCGAGTCAGTTCTGACTCATAGGGACCCTCTGTCGGGTTTTCAAGGTTGTAAATCTTTATGGGAGCAGGAAGCCTCATCTTTCTTCTATGGAGCGACTGGTGGATTTGAGCTGCTGACCTTGTGGTTAGCAACCCAACGCATAAACCACTATGTTTCCAGGGCTCCTTAACTACTCAGGAATCAATCTAAAGAAAGATAAATGAAGCCTCTGTATTAACTGACAACCACAGAGCTTTAGTAACAGAAAATACTTCAGTGTTCATACATGGGATTTCAGTTCTTTCCAGATTGATCCATAGATTTAACGTAATCTCAGTAATGATTCATTTTGATAATATGCTTGTGTCGAAAAACTTTCCCAGTGGAAAAGGTGTACTTTTAAGATGTCAGAAGTCCTGTACATTTTTCATAGTGTGAAGCGTTCTGAAATCCTGTGACTGTTTTAGGGACACATGGAGCCTTCAGCTGTGATGCACCTTAATGATCCGTGGTCCCACTGTTTTGTTATTTTGCTTGGTGTTGTAGGCCACATAACATAGGCTGGGAAACCCGTAGGGTTTTAGGTTTTGTGTTAAAATGTATGACTTTTTCCTTCATTAGTTAAATGAAGTCAGTGAAGAAAACAGGAAGCTGGAAATTCAGGCTAAAAGAGTTCAAGCCCGGTTAGATAATTTGCAGGTAAGTTGCTTGTCACTTTCTTGAGGTATAAGTAAATTTTAAAATGGTTGCATTTGGGTTTTCTCACTTAAAAATAATTGCCCTTTAATACATGGATATGTACTTTTGCAGAGAAAATACGAGTTTATGACAATACAGAGGTTGAAAGGAAATTCCCATTCGGCTCATGAAGTGAGAAATTTAAAACAAGAAAAAATGCCTGTTTCAAAACCTTATAAGGTATGATATGGGTGGAAATTTCCTTTCCTGGGTAGATACAAAAATTTCTCCTGTTCTTTAATCCTCTGTCTTTCCTTTAATTATGAAGAGTTATAGTAACAGTTTCTTTACAGAGAAATAGCTGTAGAATAGTTAAAGTGTAGTTCTATTTGCAAAACCAGAATACGTGAGCAGTGCTTCAGACAAGGTAACAATGACAGAAATATCAGCAACTTGAGACTACACAAGCACTGAATATTGTTTTTCTGCCAAGATGTTAATCCATCCTGAATGGACCCGTTTATTTATTTATTTTTGTTAAGAATTTTTTTAAATTGAAGGTATGTCTTACATAAAATAAAACAGAGCAGATTGTTTTGTTTTATGTAGATGTTGCATTTGCATAAATGCTTTGCAGATTTATATAAGTGCACACAGCCACGTGACCTACGTCCGGTCAGCGGTCCAGACCTTTCCATCACTCTAGAAAGTCCCCCTGTGCCTCACTGGCCATTCTGTTCGACTAGAAGCAACCATTGGCCTGCTTTTGGTTTCTGTGAAATCGTTCTGCCACCAATGTCATTGTGTTATACGTACTTGTTGATCCAAGCTTTCTTTTGCTCAGAATAATGTTGTTGAGAATATCAATAATTTGTTCCTTTGACCAAATTGTATGAGTGTATCTTCTTCGTTGGTTCATCCATTTTTCTGCTGATAGGCACCTGGACTCTTTTCAGTTTTTGTTTCTTATGAGTAAAGCTGCTAAAAATATTAATGCATAAGGCTTTTTATGGACCGATACATATTTTTAATTTTTTATTGTGAATTGAGTGAAGGTTTACAGAGCAGATCATCAGTTTTATATCCAACAAGTCACACACTTTGCTTCATTGTTGTTGTTGTTAAGTGCCATCGAGTCGATTCCGACCCTTAGCGACCCTGTGTTGGCTTTCCAAGGAGTAACTGGTGAGCTTGAGCTTGAGCCACTGACCTTGCAGTTGCAACAACTTTGCAGTCTGAAGCATTAGCCCACAGTGCCACCCCAGGACTCCGTTATATGGTTGCATCAACAGTTAACAGCATTGATCTCTGTTCACTTTAACCCCTGCATTCCTCCCTGTGTCTCCCGCCACCTCTGTCTTTCCTCTGCCACCCTCCCTTCAGTTGTATATTGCCTGCCCCGTCATCCATGTCAACACGTGTCTACCCTCTACCATATGTATCGTTTCCTTTTTCCCCCCAAAACCATCATAGATTATTTCTTTTTTCAAGAAAACCCCCCATTTTTTTGTTTTTTTTTAATGTACAATAAAAACTACACAGGAATTTGTAATCATAATATATAATCGAACATATAAACAACTGAAGGGCACATTCTGCAAGCCTGCCTCCTGGCCACCAGCACACAGTCTTTCTCTTTCCCTGAGTCCAGAGTCCTCAGCTGCCCCCTCTCTCCACATCCCCATCTCTGCCTCCGTCTCTGGTGTTGCTGCTTCTCTGGATAAGGTCCCACATTCTGCTTGAGCTCGGATCCTAGGGTCCAATATTTCTGGACTTTAAGATTAACTACCTGCCCCCTCCCCCGCCCCCGCCTTATGTTACAGAACTTTTACCTTTACAATTATGACAGTCTCAATTAGTCATGATAACAATTTCTCACTATTGAATCATAAGAATCATACCCCATCTCCTTTCACCAGACCCATCTAGACAAGAGGAAAACAATTCAGTGGGGACTCTACCTTCCCCCACACACTGTGAAACTAAACTCCTTCTTGAAAATGTGTAAGCCAGTCACTTCGTGTCTTTATCACCCCCTCATTTTAGGTAGCCAGTGTCTAAGTTGCACTTCCCAATCAACCCTGTGTACACAGAGGGGTTGATTTTATCTTGGCTGTGAAGACGCCTTCCCTCCTCTGTTGGTATTTGCAGCAACTACATCCATAAGTATTAGGTCAAGTTCATCACACTGTAGCAATTTACACTTGCTTCCTTTATCAAATGTCTTTATCTTCCCTTGGTCAACTTGTGATCATCAAGCCATCGAGGCTAAGTCAGTCAGATGGGTATTAACTGCAAGTTTGGATGTTCTTGTGCGTCTCCCCTCACTTCATATCAGATGGATGCTTCACTCTCAGCTCTAGCCTCTGTGGCTATGTCCTTGTCCATGGGCTCAGGTGTCCCCAGGTGTCACCATACTTCAGACCAACTAGCCCTTCCTCTTCTCTTTCTCATCTCTAGGTCTACGGGAGTCTGTGGAACATGGTTGAACTCAGCCCATTTCTTCATTGCTGCCTTTCCCCAACTTCCCCTCACATGCAGACCAATGTGGTCGTCAGCAAGCTTAACTTGCCTGCTTGTGTGCTCCCTTTGAGTTTCAGTCTTGGAGAGGGGTTTGTCCTGAAGGGATTTGATTGCTTGCCTTGATGGTTCCCCAGCAAACAACTTATTTATTCTTGTAGCCAGTCAGACTCCTGTTTTTGTTTTAGATTTTTCCTGCTGGTCATTCTTTCAAGAAGTTTCTTCTGTTTCTCTAGCTGCTCCAGGCTGGTCTGCTTGTCCTTTCAAGTGGGAATGTCCTACTTCAGAAGGTTCTGGATGGGCCTCAGGATTTGTGGACATATGTTTTCATTACTTTTGGGTATGTACCCAGGACTAGAAATTCTGGGTCATAAAGTGTTTACCTTTTTAAAAACTGTCAAACTATTTTCCCCTGTCATTTTCTATTCTTATTGCCAATGTCTGAAAGTTTTGGTTGCTGTACACAACACTGGCTAAAACACAACGGTGTTTTTAGTCTTTTTCATTTTGACCTTTTGGGTGTGTAGTGGTGTCTCATTGTGGCCTTTAATAATTTTTGTAAAAATGTCTAGTTCTTTAAGTAAATGATAAAAGTATAGATTATATACTCAGATATTCAAGATGATTCAAATTTTTATCTAAAGGCAGTTAAAGTGTAAGAGCTATTTGAAGAAAATTGAGAAGGTGAAACATTGCGCAGAATAATGTGTTAATTTTGATGTTTATCCTGTGTTTCAGTCATATGATAAAGTTTTGTGGATTATAGTGTGTCTAATGCTGCCTTTTTAGTAATTGGATTTTATATTTCTTGGTCCTTTCAGATTTCAAAAAAATGAATTAAATATGGCAGTTTTCTGCTTATGTAATAAATGCTGAATTAATTGAAGAAAAATTTGTTTTAAAGAAATAATAAATGAGACTAATTAAATTTGATTTTTTCGATTTGAGATATTTTATTTTTATTATTTTCCCACCATTTTAGTAAACTCTGAGAGAACAGGATTTCTAGGAGGGAAAAGAGAATCATGTTTGGTTTCTAGGATGTTATAATGTAAAGAGAATCAAAGTAGTAAGCTTTTTGGGAAGAAGAAAATACCAAGTTCCATAAGGGGAAATTCTTTAGCTTTTGAAACTTTTATATATGAAAATCTTTTAGATATGGGTGGTTCATGTTCTCAGATTTCGGCCATTTTCCTCGTTGTGATGCGTTTTCTGTTTCTCTACGAGAATCGATCATGTTTCAGTGTTAGTTTGTCATGGATGATTTGAAACTTCTGTGAGTTGTTTGGAGAAGGTGGATTCTTAAGTACATTTTCATTAAGTGCTAACCAAAATTTTAAAAAGTTTTTACATAATCACTGATAAAATTCTAGGGTTGGTTTAGAAGAGGTTATGAAATAAATACGTGATTTAATTTTGATTTTATAGGTACCACTTAATGCACAAGTTTATGAGCTTTTAACTATGTTCATGGACTGGATTTCAGATCACCACCTTAGTAAACTGAAAAATGAAGAAAGTGGAATGGAAGGCGAAAAGCCGCCAGTCAGGCAAGCTCTTCAGAGAACTGACATTCAGGAGAAGTGTGTAAAGGTTGGTGTTTCCGTATGAAAGATACGGTTCAGTGCCCAGCAGCTGTCTGACAAGTGGTGGTTCAAACCCACCATTGACTCTGAGAGAGAAAGACCTGGCAGGCCAGAAACCCCATGGCACAGGTCTAATCTGTTACCTGGGGTCTCTAAGGCAAAGGTTGACTAGACGGTACATAACAACAGTCGGTCCTTTTAATTAAAATGTTATTGGTTTCTTATAGTTATGAATATACTGATAAAGGTAGAGTGAGTTTAAAACTTAAAACCTTACTAGAGCAAGAGAAGGTTAAAGAATAGCACATTCACAAGTTAGTTAATTAAACATATTTGTGGCCAACACAAGCAGATGTTCAGATTTCATTTAGTGGAATATGAAATTTATATTTTCAAATACAACTATTTTTTTGTGTAGTAGAAGCACTTTGGTGGGCATTGTATTCTCAGAATACTGGTATGGCTCAACATTTTTTCCAAAATAATCGCTTCAGAAGCTTATTTTGAGACTTCCTATGACATTTCATTGTATATTCTACTGCAGTAGTGACTGATTTTAATTTGAGGATTTAATATTTTAAATTACAAAAAGCCGTTGGGGACTAATCTGATATATGTGGGCAAGAAGAAAAATACCACTCCTGTGGTTCCGGTTTATACTTGCGTTGGTTTATTCTAAATGTTGTTGTTGTTGTTGTGATGTGCTGTGGAGTCGGTTGTACAGGGTTTCCGAGGCTGTAAATCTTTACAGGAGCAGAAAGACTCATCTTTCTCCCACAGAACAGCTGGTAATTTCAAACTGCTGACCGTGAGATTAGCAGCCCGATTCGTAACCACTACGCTGCCAGAGCTCTTTTTATTCCAAGTAGAATGTGTTTAAACATGTCTCTGCAACTTGTTGTTGTTGTTGTTGTTAAGTGCCGTCAAGTCAGTTCCGACCCATAGCAACCCTGTGTAGGGTTTCTGAGGAGTGACT